TATATTAGTAAATTATGATAATTGTGCTTAACTGATGGAATAGTTATACCACGAATATTAGCAATTATATGGGAAATTGAGATTACCTTTCGAATAGATAGTTGAAAGGGCCATGCTTGTTGAATCGTGACTTATTGTATACGCTTCTCTTTACGTTAAATCATTTAACATTACATTTCATTATGATTTATGCGATATTTATTCCAAGAGGAAATTAAGACTTAGTAGATGTTCTGTTATATTCTGTAGTGTTTTTATTGTCAGTGGTCATATCGTATGCTTCTTATACTTCTTTCGCTCAGCTCAACTTTTTCGTCACGAAATTTTTTCTTGCAAAATTTCAAACACTATCATCTTCTTGGAATTTGCAAAATTTGCAATTTTTCATTTTAAAATTCAAGTTGAGTGTTCATTTCAGGGAATGAAAGTGAACAGAGTAAGCAATTATAAGGATTATACAGATTTATCGACTCGATTGTTTTTTCTACGAATTATGTTTTTTTCAAAAGCCATTTCAGTTTGGATTGTCTTTTTAGTTGATGTTTTTACTGTTAAGAAACTACCAAGTCTGTGTAATATGGTAAACACATCCATAAAATTTTTATTTGTTCATTATGAATTTAAAGAAAATGATCATATTTGTAAATGACTTATCTTTGTAAAGATGACCAGATGTGTATTAGGAGGATCGGCTTTGAACTATTAGCAAGTTGTCTCAACATCTGACATCCGATAATATCTTAATTGTAATATCGATAATATTGCTCCGAAATCGGCATTAAATGCAAAACATGAAAGAATATTTCATACTTTGCTTGTTTATTTTGTGAAAACTGTAATGATCCACCCCTTTTTTGAAATTATTATAATTCAATATTTCAGCAACTGAAGTGAGCTTATGGTTATTCTTCGAGCGTGTATGAGTTTGTTTTTGTACCCTGAACAAGTTCTATCAGGGATGGTCAATGGAGTTCTTTTTTTTCTTCTGTTTCTTATCTTTAATCATACTTAGATATTTTCCTGTTTTTTTCTTTTTGATAACAATGTTCGATTCATCTGCTCTTTTTATTTACACCTTACTATCAAATAAAGTGAATTTTCTGCAATAATTTTTTTAGCATTGACACGGAAGATTTTAAAGATATGCGTGTACATTGGAAAATTAGGAATGAAAAACAATAATTTTATTTTGAGCATTCTAAAACTTAAGGATTTATTTGTTAGGGCTTTGATTTGTGATTTTGATTTTGGATAACTCGGAAAATTAGTGTGTTTTGAAATGTCCTACTTGAGAATTCAGGAAAATTTCAAAGTTGTTCAATTCATAGTAGTATATTCACATCTGAATTATTATATTATTTTGTTCTGTCATTTCTATTCACAATTTTTTCCGTAGTTATCTTTTTTAATTTTGATTCTTTTTAAAAGTCTGTTTTTAAATCATTAGGTTTGTAAAATAAAAAAGCTAGTTCTTCCTTCATCTTTGATTTGCAGTTTTTTTCTTTTTACATGACTTTTAATTTTTATTCCTATGGCTTATGGAGAAAGTATTTTCATATAATTCTACTAACTGCTATTATTTCGGGATGCGTCGGAAGCGAACAATTTAGAAATAAGCTTTCTTATTCTGGAGTGTTCCCGAAGCAATGATGTATGAGGGAAATTATCCATGGATCGAGAGTATATGTATTTTGTTTGTTAAAAAATTATATAAATAAATAATGATGCAAATAGAGATAAACAGCTTAATTTAAAGTTAATGAAAAGCATGAAGAGTAAAAAGAGATTTGTAGTGGCTTGTAATCTATTCTACTTTTTTGTTTAGTGAAATAATTTGCATTGATGGAATTGACTGGTTAGGAAGATTGTGTTGTCTTGAATTTTTTTTTTTTAAATTTTCTAATTTCTATTCTCGTTTTCCAGGCTGAAGCTAATTTCATTTCCTAATCTGAAAAAGTTTGATTATTGTATTTCATGGTGATATACATAACACAACGAACAGTACTAGACATAGAGGGAGATAGAGTTACTGGATATGAATATTTTAAGTGATAATTTGAGAGTTCATTGATGCAATATTGGATTTTCAAAGCATTTTTATAAAGCTCAACATCAATTAAGCATAGATAGACTTGTTGGAAAAAAAAAATGAATATCTCCAGCACTGATCATTTCTGATGACATATATGCTAAGAAAAAGGAAGAATGCATACAGAATTGGCGAAGTTTAAATCGAATTACAATTTAAAATGTTAATAATTATTTAGCTAAATGAGTAAATCTAAACAATTATTTTCCTGAAGTCAAATGTCAGTAACATATTAAAGGGAAGGACTTGAAGGATAATCTTCATGAAAGTAACAAAGAGTATCTTCGAGACATGGAAGAGGTCAGATCGTCTCTATCATTACAACTATTAAATATCATTTCGACCACTATCACTCCTTCAGACAGGAAACTATCGATTGAAATGACTGTTCACCTTCTATTTATCGTCCAACACCAAATTTTATCTTCAACTTCGAATAGTTACAAATTAAAGAGCCAGGATTAGCCAAAACTGCAATAGTCTTTGATTTCAAGAAAAAAAAAACAGCGGAATCACATCGCTTATTTCGAATGCTTAGCTGTGTCTAATTTCTAACCCTACCTTAGCTTTATATATCATCATTCGGCTAACATTGCTTAATGAAATTGTAAACTATTGAAGTTTTAGTAAAATTTCTTTTCATTATTTTCTTAAAATATTTATCGAATATTGCAACAATGTATAAATTATTGCAATATGAAATTATATACAATCATGATTTAGGAATAGTCAGTTTTTTTTTTTGGCTTTAGGATTGATCAGAGCAATTTTGTTCAATATTTCTGAGTTTGATAAAGTACATATAATATACATCATTGCACAATCACAGAAAGGAACAGTGTAAATTTATTCGACAATTGCTAAATTATTGTAAAGAGATTCCCTTCACATATTATCTTTACACTGAAATATTATGTGTTATGTTTTTTATTGTTTTTTTTTATTATATTTTTTTTTTTGCTACGGTATGGTGCAGCAAAATGGTAGGCAAATAGTTCCTTTACTTATTCTGATCAAACGGAGTTTCAGAACAAAAAGTGCCCTATCATTGTATTTAAAATAAAAGCACTTTAATGAATGTAATTCAATTAAAATTATCATTAGCTTAATTAGCATAACCCGCACTGAACATTATCATCATATAACTTTGCAGACCAGTTTAAAACCGTTTTATCCGCTCCCAATTCTACGAAATGATAATGCAAAAGGAAATGCAAATTTTCACATTTATTAAACGCAATAATTTAAACGATTATATGTACATTCAAATGAAAAAATTTTGTCAACGATGGACGCACTGTACAAAACATTAAATAATAAAGTGACATGATCAATGAATTTTTAAAAACATTGAAAAAATGCTCGATTATATAACATAAATAAAATATACAACACAAAATATTAAACATAGAAAACAATTTAATATATTAAGTACCCGATCCCCTTTAACCTCGGTGCATGCCTTCCCTTCTAGGCCTGTACTTCGCTTCACGAATTGGCCCATTGCAAAGGATGTAATCGGTGCCATTCTCGTCCTGTAAAATTTATCGTTTATTCAATAATCTTCATGAATTTAATCAAAAAAAGAAAATAACGACTTGAATGAAATCAAATATATCTTACCGCATTCGGATCAGCAATAAAAGCGTATTTTGAAGAATGTGAATCGCAACATTCTTCATTAATAATTTCCTCAATCATCCGCAGCGCTCGACGGATGTTGTGTTCAAATCCGCTGATCGTGAAGGTGGGACTCCGGAAGCGGCGCGGCAACACCCACTCAGTATCCGTCGCATATGCTATGAGGTGCGACCGTTGGTCATCCACCTCAAGCAGTACATCGACCATCGCAG